CATTGAGCGCGAAAAAGGACAGAAGAGTCTCGGCCCCAGGACGACCCTCATACCCTGCAAACCTTTTAACTCATTACTGCAAAACGAAAACTCGAAAACCCTGAATTAACACTTAGAAAAATAACCGAACACGCTCGATGATGGTGTTTGGTGGTGATGATGCTGCTGCTGCTGATGATGACGATGACGATGACGATGACGATGACGATGACGATGATGATGATGATGATGATGATGATGATGATGATGATGATGATGATGATGATGATGATGGTGATGGTGATGATGATGATGATGATGATGATGATGATGATGATGATGATGATGATGATGATGTTGATGGTGGTGATGTTTTCTCCAGCGCTGCGGGAATATCTGGTATTTCGTGACACGGCAAAGTGTGGGCTCGCCCCAGACTCTTCGAATTGGGTGCGTGGTCTCGGTGGTAAGCGCTCTCGAGCCCACTGGCTTGAGCCAACATGGCTTGGCCTTCAGCGAACCTCTGACTCGAGAAACCTCGGAGCCAGGACAACCCACAGGACAACCCCCATACCCTGCAAACCTCTGGCTCAATACTGCAGAACGAAAACTCGAAAACCTCGAACTCACACCCGGAAAAAAAAACCGAGCACGCTCACATTCAGCGAACCTCTGCCTCGAAGAGCCGCGGAGCAGGTCCTTGAGGACGGAGGGAGCAGGCCGGCCCCCTGTAATCATCGGCCCCCGCGCGAGCGGGGCGGCATCCCCCTGCCTCACCGGCAGGCCTGGCAAGGGGTCGGAGGGAGGCAGGGGGGCAGGGGTATCGCAGCGGGAGAGCGTCGAAGGAGGCAAGACGTGCGAAGAGTATGCCGACGTGATTCGGCCACGCGCAGAGTGGGGTATGGGGGAGCAGGGCTCGCTTCGATTCCTCCGATTCGATTCGATTCGACTTCGATGGCTTCCGATTCCGATTCGATTCGACTTGGGATTCTGATTTGGGATCCGATTTTCATTGGAGGCACAATAGCCTGCCGATGTCCGCCGATTCGACTTTTCCCGACTTGGCTGCCAATTTCCGCCGATCCGATTCATTTCGATTGCCGATCCGACTTATCGATTCGATTCTGGGCTCTCCTGGGGAGGGGGGAATGCTTTTTGTGTAAAATCGGTGTGGCCAATGAGCTTAAAGAGAGATGCGTTTCCTGTCCTGTGTGCTTGTCTGTTCGTCGTCGAGGGAGAGTGCTCAAAGAGATGCTTGTATGCTGTGACCAGTAAGCTTAAAGAGATTCGTGTCCTGTCCTGTCCGGTACGTCGTCGTCTTCCTCGCCGAGGTCGTGTTCGTCGTCGTCGTTTTCCTTTGTCGTCTTCGTCTTCGTCTTCGTCTTCGTCGTCGTCTTCGTCTTCGCCGTCGTCGTCGCTCGCGTCGTCGTCGTCGTCGTCGTTTCTCGTCGTCGTCGTCGTCGTGGCTGTGGTCGCCGTCGTCGTCGTCGTTGTTGTTTTCGTCGTAGTCGTCGTCGTTGCTGTCGTCATCGCTGGTAGTCGTCGTGGTCAGGGTCGTCGTCGTCGCTCTCGTCGTCGTCGTCGGCGTGGTTGTCGCGGTCGTCGTGGTCGTCGTCGTCATAAGTAGTCGTCGTCGTCGTTGCCGTCGTGGTCGTCGTCGTCGTGGTTCTCGTCGCCGTCGTCGTCGTTGTCGCTGGTCGTCGTCGCTTTCGTCATCGTCCTCGTCGTCGTAGTCGTCGTCGTCGTCGTCGTCGTCGTCGTCGTCGTCGACATCGCTGGCAGTCGTCGTCATCGTCGTCGTCGTCGACGTCGTCGTCGTCGTTTCTCGTCTTCGTCGTCGGCGTCGTTGTGGTGGTCGTCGTCGGCGTGGTCGTGGTCGTGGTCGTCGTCGTCGTCGTCGTCGTCGTCGTCGTCGTCGTCGTCGGCGTGGTTGTCGCGGTCGTCGTCGTCGTCGTCGTCGTCGTCGTCGTCGTCGTCGTCGTCGTTATCGCTGGTAGTCGTCGTCGTGGTCGTCGCCGTCGTCGTCGTGGTCGTCGTCGTCGTCGTGGTCGTCGTCGTCGCTGGTCGTCGTCGTCGTCGCCGGTCGCCGGGCGGACGTGGGTGCCCGGCGGCGCGCCCGCGCCACCCAGGCACACGCGCGGCCGCCGCGGCCGCCGACGCAAGGGCAGGAGCCCAGGGCCGGCCCCTCCGCAGGGGGTCTGCGTCGGAGGATGCCAAGACCGCGCGGGGGGAGTCTCTGCGGCGAGCGAGGGGGGGAAGTGAGAAGGAGGAGGCTCCCTCTCGGAAGGCGGCGGGACTTCTCCGAAGCACTCCGGCCTTCCGAGGGGTTTTCTGTGTCTTCGGGGGGGGCTCGGGAAACGCCTCAGAAGGCTGGGGGGCCTCCGAGCCTTTGAGAAGGCCTTCTTCTGCTCTCTTCCCCCCCTCGCTCGCCGCCGAAAGCCCGCACGGAGTGCTTGGCCTCCATCTGGACTCGCTTCGGTGGCTCTAGGCCTCCCAGATGGGGTCCGAGTGCAATCGACCCGCGCAGTCAGGATGTGCAACCTTCCCCAGGGTACCCTTGTTATGAGGAAAATCTGGGAGGCCTCGCGCGGCGCTTAATAGTAGTATGATCTAGTCCGCTGTCGATGCTCGCTCGGCGATGCTCCAGAGTCAGTTCGACGTAAATCCGATGTGAACCCGACGTGAATCCGACGAAGTCCGACTTGAACCCAACGTAAATCCAACGTGAATCGGGTCTCAAGTTGCCGCGCGAGGCCTCCAGGATTTTGCTCATAACCCTTGCATGCTTGCCTCCTCTGTCCATCCTTGGTCACTTTCGTCGGTCGCGCCCCGCTCAAGAAGCTTCGACATCACCCATGTCGAAGCTTCCTCATCGCGCATCCTTATGATACGGGCCGACTGTAGATGGGGTCGGAGGATCTCGCCGCATCGCCGATGCATCGGCGATGCGGCGCGATGTGGAGGCCGATCTTCTCTTCACGTCGACGCCGCCGATGCATCGCCGACGTCGACGATGCGGTGCGATCCTCCGACCCCACATGCGCCGACCCCATCTAGGAGGCCTCTGAGAAAGCCTGGAAACTTTGGCACTCACCACTTATCACCATGATCCCATGATCTATTACTCCCCTCGGAGCGTCTTGGTCACACGTCCCTGCCCCCGAGCTCCGACACCACCCGGATCTGCTGCACGGCGTGCAAGACACCCCAGGCGGACTCCACCTATCGTCAGCGCGCCGAACGCCCCCTGGCCTTCCGAGAAGTCTCCTGAGCCTTCCCTGAAGACACAAACAGATTTCTCCTTCTCCTCCTCCTTTCCTCCTCCTCCTCCGGCTCCTCTCCTCCCCCTTCTCCTCCTCCCCCTCCTCCTCCCCCTCCTCCTCGTCCCTCCTCCCTCCCTCCTCCCTCCCTCCTCCTCCTCCTCCTCCTCCTCCTCCTCCTCCTCCTCCTCTCTCCTCCTCCTCTCCCTCCCTCCCCCCTCCCTCCCTCCCTCCCTCCCTCCCTCCCTCCCTCCCTTCCCTCCCTCCCTCCCTCCCTCCCTCCCTCCCCCCTCCCCTCCTCCCCTCCCCTCCTCCCTCCCTCCTCCCTCCTCCCTCCCTCCTCCCTCCTCCCTCCTCCCTCCTCCCTCCTCCCTCCTCAGAAGGCCAAAGGGCTTCGGATCAGGAGGAGGCGGCTCCAGAGAGACGGGGCGCAGACGCCCTGCCCCCCTATGAGCTGGGAGACTGCGCCGCGGTGGCCTCGACGCTGGCCTCAGCAGAGGCAGAGGCTCGGCCGAGGTATCGGTCCTTCTGTTACGTCCCTCGGGGTGCAGCTCCTGGGGGGTCAAATTCTGATTTTGCACTGGTCCGAAGTCCGGCTTAATCCGGCTTAACCCCGCTTCATCCCGGTGAATCCCGCTTAATCCCGTTTAATCCGGCTTAATCCCGTTTAATCCAGCGTAGTAGCTGCAAAATGGGGCTTAATCCTCCTTAGTCGTTCCGACGAAAACCTCCCAGTAGTTGCCTCCTAACATCCCAGCGGGGGGTCGGCGACAACGTTGGCCGGCGACAACGTTGGCGACGTCGGTGGGTCGGCGTCGACGTCGGCGGCAACGTGGCGGAGACGAAGTGTCCTGCTCCGCTTGTGCTTCTCAGGGGGGCGGGGGGAGCTCATAGATCGGATGCTCCTTCTCCTCCTATCCTTCTTCTCCTTCCTTCCTCTTTTTTTCGCCCTTCGTCGCCCTCCTTCCTCGTCCGTCCTTCTGCCTCCTGTTTCCTCCTCCTTCCTTCCTCGCCCTTCCTCCTCTTCTCCTCCTCCCCTCCACCCTTTCCTCCTTCTTCCGTGGGGCCGCCCTGGGGGGGGGGGGGTGGCGGGGCGCGCGCAGGATGGGCGGGGACGCCGACGGCAGCGACCGCGAGGGGGGCGAGGAGCCCTGCCTGGGGCGGTGACGTCGTCGTCGTCGTCGTCGTCGCCGTCGTCGAGGTCGTCGTCGAGGTCGTCGTCGACGTCGTCATCGTCGTCGTCTTTGTCATCGCCGTTGTCGTCGTTACCGCTGGTAGTCGTCGGCGTCGTCGTCGCCGTCGCTGTCGTCGTCGTCGTCACTCTCGCCGTCGTCGTCGTCGTCGTCGCCGTCGTCGTGGTCGGAGTAGTAGTAGTAGTAGTAGTAGTAGTCGTCGTCGTCGTCGTCGTCGTCGTCGTCGTCGTCGTCGTCGTCGTCGTCGTCGTCGTCGTCGTCGTCGTCGTCGTCGTCGTCGCAGTCGTTGTCGTCGTCGTCGTCGTCGTCGTCGTCGTCGTTCTCGTCGTCGTCATCGCTGGTAGTCGTCGTCGTCGTCGTTGTCGTCGCCGTCGTCGTCGTGTCCGTCGTCGCCGTCGTCGTCGTTGCCATTCTGGCGCAAGACTGCACCCAGGGAGCACTGGACACGCACGCCCTGGCCGAGCTGCCCAGCTTGACTTGAGACTCGGGGCCCTCGTTTTTCTTGCGAACGGCCCCGCCAGTCTTTTTCTCAGGTAGCATCCTGCGCGCATGTTGCAGCGTACGGGACGGCGACGACGGCTGCTGCTGCGGTGGAGCGCGCCTCTGCCACCGCGCCCGAGTCGGCCGATGCTGAGCCGCCCCGCCAGCGCCGCCGCGTGGGAGGCGGGCAGGGGCTTCAGGTGAATGGCGAGGCGATCGATGACGCCGATACGGACGCTCTGAGATGTTCGGAGAAGGCCTGGGAGCTGCACCAACTGGTCCATCGAGACGGGATCCACCGCCAACGCCGCCGACGGACCCGCCCAGCTCGGCTGAGCGAAGTACATCACAGAATCGCCGAATGGCAGCTTAGGCGCCCGAGTGGAGGGTGTCGAGACGCAGGTGGCCGCCCTACGCCGCACGGCCGACACCAGCGCGCGCGACATCTCGGCCATCCAGGCGAAGATGAGGGCGCAGGGTGCCAGGTGGGAGGCGCTCGAGTCGGGGCGAGGAGTTTTTTGTCGGCCGCGAGCACGGCCGCAGGCTCTCGAGCCTGGCCCAGGCCCAGCCGTGGGCGCGCAGCCCGACCCGTGGATGGCCTACAACATGCAGAGAGGTGGAGCGCCGACTCAGGAGGGGAAAAAACACACAGACACAATTAATCGTCGCTTCCCTGGAAAACATGGGAAAATATGGGCAGTGTGGGGGGGAAAAACAGAAACCCAGAACATATGGGAAACTATGGGGAGTCTTTTTATTTGTGTGTTTTTCTTTGTGTGTCCCAGGGCCCCTTCAACAACATGCAGAGAGGTGGAGCGCCGACGCCCAGCGGCAACGTGCAGGGGGGCAGGCCGTCGCGTGGGTTTGGTAAGAAAACCAAGCATGTGGTTTTAGTGGCTGGCTGCCCTGGCGCGTGGCATGAGGACGAGGTCGAGGAGCATCTGCGCACCGAACTCGAGAAGTCTGGCACCCCGGAGAGCCAGGGCACCGCGGAGATCTACGGAGGTGGGCGTTTTTGTGACCAAGCGACGGTCGTCTCCGCCGACAATTCGCAGATGTGGAGGCTCATGGAGCGTTGGAAGGGGCTGAAGATTCTTTGTCCCGGCGCGAAGAATGGCAGATTGTGGCACAAGGTGGATCAGGAATTGCACGAGGCCGAGCTATCGAGGAGAGTGAGCATCGCCGTCCGTATCTTGCGAAAGATCGGCATCCAGCATGGCCTGGGCACGGAGGCAAACAAGCAGAATCGTGGCTGGGTGGCCCACCGCAAGCACAGCGCGGAACGCCCCTTCCGCATCCTGCAGCGGCCGCGGCACTCGGACCTTCTCGAGTTTTGCCAGGAGCCGCTCGCCAAGGCCGCGCTCGGCCAGTAGCTCGGGAAGATGAGACTGGTCGAGAGGCTTTGCGAGATCAATGCTCCGCCTCGTCTTCAGCTATTTCGGGCACGTGGCCGTCGGTTAGCTAAAGACCTGAGGGGCCTCGCGCTTCCGGGGTGGAATGCGACGGGGGCTCCTGCTCGGCAGCGACAGCGTGTTCATGGCGAGATCGCGCGCGAATTTGATGCCCGCCTTGTCCTGTTTCAAGAAACGTGCGTGGCTGGTACAAGGTGGCAGTCCTATGACGGCTATGTGGTTCACGTCTCGCCTCCAGTGGGGGCGCGGCAGATGTGCGTGGTTGCGGGTGCACCGAGGGCGACCTTGCAAACTCCATGGGTTTCTTCGCGGGCGGCTCCATCCGCGCGACGGGCTCGCGGCCGACGGCATCTTCATCGCCGTGCTTCAGTGGGCTGGGGCCTCGCGCTCTCCCGCGTCGCCGAGCCCGGCGGCCTGGGCGAGCTCCTCTTCGAGGCCTGCGGGGCGGTCTTGAACGCGCCAGCAGGGTAAAATCGTTGATTGTCAATGTTTTTTGGTTGATTTGTGTCGTTTTCTCACGTTTTCAGGCTCCCATCGCTCCAAGTCCTATATGTATGTATGTATGTATGTATGTATGTATGTATGTATGTATGGATGTATGTATGTATGTGTGTGTATGTATGTATGTATGTATGCAATGCAATGCAATGCAATGCAATGCAATGCAATGCAATGCAATGTAATGTAATGTAGTGTAATGTAATGTAATGCAATGCAATGCAATGTAACGTAATGTAATGTAATGTAATGTAATGTAATGTAATGTACTGTAATGTAATGTAGTGTAATGTAATGTAATGCATTGTAATGTAATGTTAATGTAATGTAATGTAATGTATGTATGTATGTATGTATGTATGTATGTGTGTATGCATGTATGTACATGTATATATACACATTCATACAAATGCACGCCCCCTCCTCCCGGGGGTCCCACACATTCCTGGAACATCTGCGGAACGCTCTTGGTACCGCGCTTCCCGACCTCCCGGGGAGCCCCCAAGACGACCCCAAGAACCCCCCAGAACGTCAAAGAAAGGCCCAAGACGCTCCCAAGCAACCCAGGATAGCTTTCGGGCGGCTCTCCAGGCTCCCAGGAGGCCTCCAAAAGACCTCAGGAGAGCTCCGAGAGGCCTCCCGAGAGCGCCCAGAGAACCTAAAGTTGTTAATTTTCATGTTTTGTTTGAGGGTTTTTGGCCTTCTCACCATTTCATGCTTCCAACACTCCTAGACGGCCGAAGAGGCCCCCAAGACCGTCCCGAGACCGGCCAAGAGGCCCCCAAGACGGCCCCAAGACAGGCCAAGACGGCCCCAAGACTGCAGAAGAGGCGCCCAGGACAGCTCCAGACCACCCCAGAACAGGCCAAAGATGAGCCCAAGAACGGGAGCAGGAGGCCTCCAGAGACCTCTGAGAGGACTCCGGGAGCCCCTCAGAGGCCTCCAACACACCCCAGACCCGTGAGGCTCCCAAAAATTCCCGACGAGGCCCCACAAACAGCCCAAGAGAGCTTCGAGAGCCGTCCCGAGAGAGCCCGAAGAGGGTCAAATCGTTGCTTTCCAGTGGTTTTTGTCGACGCTTTTCGCCTTCACGTTTTCCCGCTCGCAACGCTCCAAGTCAGAGGAATTTGGGGAAAAAGGGAATTCCAGAGATTCCCTCATCATCATCATCATCATCATCATCATCATCATCATCATCATCATCCTCATTATCAGTAATCATATGGTTACTCTTTTTATTATAAGTATTCTTATTATTTTTGGCATTCTTATTTGTATTGTTCTTATTATTATTACACATATATATATATATATGTATAAGTTTGGGGCTCCTATTCCCTATCCTCTTCCTGGAGGCCATCAAGACTTCGGGGTCACATGCAAAAATGTTTCGGGAATGCTGTTGAACTCTCTCACGCTGTCTTTGCACTCTCTTGGATCGTCTTCGTGTCCTCTTGGCTGCCCCTGAAACCATAGTAGAAATCGAGATCCATGGTTCCATGGGTTGAAGCAATGAAATTTTAGAATTCCTTTTTTCAAACTCACCTCCTGCTTATTTTTACACGAAGACCCCGAGAGGTATCCCAACAGATCAAAGAAACTCCCACCATGCCTTTTTTTGTTTTTGATTTGTTTTTCCAAATTCGCCCCCCTGTCCATTCTTGCACACAGACCACAATTAAGGCCCCCCTCAGCTCCCAGAAAAGAAACCAGGAAGCTTTTGACGGCCCCAAATCGTTGAATACCTAACGGGAAGTAATGATCTCCGCGTTTCCGCAGTTCCGCTCCTATGCGGTCCCGAGGCTTGCGCAGGGCCTCCAATGGTTCCTGGATGCAAGAAGCGACAAACCTGATATTCCATGATTTTGCCCATCAGGCCTAGATAGAATTTGAGCGCGCGCGAAGCGCGCGATGGTTCGAGAATGTATGTATGTATGTATGTATGTGTGTGTGTATGTATGTATGTATGTATGTATGTATGTATGTATGTATGTATGTATGTATGTATGTATGTATGTATGTATGTCTGTGTGTATGTATGTATGTATGTATGTATGTATGTATGTATGTATGTATGCATGCATGCATGCATGCATGCATGCATGCATGCATGCATGCATGGATGGATGGATGGATTGATGGATGGATGTATGTATGTATTCATGTATGTATGTATGTATGTATCTATGTTATATGTATGTATATATATATATATATATATATATATATATATATATATATATATAATACCGACGAGCCATGGGCCGAGCGCGTGGTGCATTTGCTTCGGAAGCGACCCGATGCTTCCATGATTTTGCCGTTCAGGCCGATCGCCCTGGTGTCCGTGATATTGAAAATCCTGGGCAAAGTGGTGCTGTAGACCCAGAGGGGCGATTGAATCGGATCGCTCAGGAGTGCCAGTTCGCTTTTCGTAGAGGGTAGCAGGCCCGAGGGATAATTTGCAGCCCGCGCCGCCTTGTTGAGCATCTGCGCATATACGGACCCGCCGCTTGTAGTTGCGGGGGGGGGGAGGAGGATATCCGTAAATTTGACGATTCTGTCAGGCGTGCGCTCGTGGCCCTGCGGCTGGACGCGCGCTGGATTTCTAGGGTGGCCTCCGCGTTCCGGATTTGAGAGACGAGAAGGTCGGCTGCTCGGGTCGCCTCAATGCCCTTGCGGACCCGATTCGGCTCGAGGAGTCCCTGATCCACGGTGACCCTGCGGCGCTTGAGGTCATCGACATTTTCTTAGATGGCTGCCTCCGGGAATTCCAGGGCGTACTGCTGGCGGCCCCATGGCGGGGAGGATGGAGTTCTGGGTGTTCTAAATTTTGCAGAGAAGTTCTGGATCCACTCCCGTTCGGTTCCGATGGCCACAACAATGACGGAGGCCTGTCTCAGGATTTTGAGCAGGAGCGGGCTTGGGGTCCCTGTGGATGAGATGGAGTGGTGCCGCGCGCTTGCTCAGCATATCGGCGCGCTTCGCGCCCGCAGCCACTTGTTGTCTTGCAGAGGGAGAGAGAGAGAGAGAGAGAGAGAGAGAGAGAAAAAGAGAGGGAGAGAGGGATACATATATATATATATATATATATATATATTTATGTATATATATACAGGGAGAGAGAAACAACAAACAGAGAGAAAGGGAAGGAGGGAGGGAGGGAGAGAGAGAGAGAGAGAGAGAGAGAACCACGGGGTCTGAAGGTCCCAGGCACATGTTGTCTCTTCCGATCGTAGTTGCACGCATGATGTTTGCAATCGCATCCAGAGAGCGTGGCGCACGTGGGCGGCTCACCGGCAGACGCTGGCGAATCTTAGGGTCAGTCTACAGAAGCGCCTTCGCACGCTAGATTGATGCGTTCGCCCTGCCCTCACATATTGTACAGGTGGCCTGCGCAGTACAGTTTCGGCTATGAGCCGCCAATCGGAATGCCGCAACACCATGCTGCGTAAAATGATCCGACCACCTCGGGGTGGTACCGCCGCCGATCATATTAAGGTCGAGAATGGCCGCGGTGGCTGAAGTCCGTATGAGGTCTAATATCAAGTTGTGGCCTAGGACCTGCCGCACATTCCAACACATTTGGGCTGGACATTTACAATCGTTCGCCAGGGCTTCTTCTTCCAACAAGCTTGCCGAATCACCGCGTGCTGCGTTCGCACGATAGAGGGTGGATGGCGGCCATGGAAAATTGCAGGGCTCCCAACTCCATCATCACACATCATCATACATGGGCCCCAAATACATGGGGCCCCAAATAATATACATCACCACCACGTCGATTCCTCCTGTCTCCTCTTTCCAGCGAGAGGGAGGGGGGGAGGGAGGTGGTGGTGGTGGTGTATATTTTGGGCCCCCCTAATACAATTGTGACCTAGCGTCGGGAGCGATTTCTTTGGGGGTGACTGGCTTCTCCATCCACACCATGGTCCTCCGTTGCGTGGCAGGCAGAGAACATGGCTTGAATGGCGGAAGGTTTTGAGATAACTTGCGCGGCTGCTGTAACATAGTCCTCGTATGCGGCATCGGGGCCAGGTGCCGCCATTGCAAGACGCCCTCGACACGAAAAGAAACGTCGTCGTCGTTGTCGTCTTCGTCGTCCTCGTCGTTTTTGTTTGTTGTTTGTCTTCTCTCCCCTCTCCGTGCGTGCTTTTTGGTTAGATGTGCTTGGTGTCGGCTGCCGGTCTGAAAACCGCATGGTCGGAGCGTCCTGGCCTACGTAAGCCCTGACAGTGGTCGGAGCGTGTCGTCGACTTCCTCACTCCCTCCCTCCCTCCGTTCCTGCGCCACTTCCTCCCTCATTCCCTCCTCCATCCTTTATTTCCTCCCTCCTCGTCGTCCTCCTCGTCGTCGTCGTCCTCCTACTCCTCTTCCTCCTCCTTCTCCCTCCTCCCACTTCTTCTCCTCCTCTTCCTCTTCCTCCTCCTCCTCCTCCTCCTCCTCCTCCTCCTCCTCCTCCTCCTCCTCCCTCGTCCCTCCTCCACCTCCAGCTGGCGCGCGGGATCACGCGCGGGGAGGAGGAGGCGATTGCGGGATCCCCCTAACTCTCAATTCCTGTTCCCCCCCCTGCCTCCTGTTCTCGTCTGGTTGGTCTTCCCTTACCCCCTTTCCCTCCTGCGCCGCGCATCGTCCTTCCTCCTCTTCCTCGTCCTCATCATTCCCTCTTCGTCCTTTTTCTCGTCCTCGTCTTCCTCGTGCTGGTGGCCGTCGTGCCCGGCTTCGCCCTCCTCCTCGTTCTCTTCCTCGTCCTCCGCGCCCCAAGGGGTCGGGGGCACCAGCAGATTCCACGGCGAGCCCCTCGGCGCCCCGTGCCCGCCGCTCCGCCGCGAGGGCATGCGCCCGTTCACGCTCGTGGGCTCGCGGGGCGCGGGCCCGCGCGACTGCTTTCGGCAGCGCGCCTTTGCGCGGTGCGCGGCGCTCGGCTCGGGGCTGTCGCTTCCATCGTGCAGTGACCGCCCACACCCTCCTCCTCCTCCTCGGCCTCTTCCTCCTCCTCCTCCTCCTCGGCCTCTCCCCTCCGCCGATCTATGCCGATTCGGGCGCACTGCCAGCGTATCTTTCTCAGACTGGCTCCCCGCGGGGTTCGTTCGTTCCCGTCTCCTCTTCCTCCTGGTCCCTCCTCCTTGCCCTCCTTGTCATCCGCCATGTTGTCCTTCTCGTCCTCCTCGTCCTCCGCGTCCCCCATCCTCCTCCTCGTCGTCCCTCTCCTCCCCCATCTTGTCCTTCTCGTCATCCCCGTTCCCCATCTTGTCCTTCTCGTCGTTGTTCCAGTCCTCCTCCTCGTCCTTCTCGTCGGCATCCCCAACTTGTCCTCGTCGTCCTCCCCCTCCTCGTCGTCGTCGTCGTCCTCCTCCTACTCCCTCCTCCTTCTGCCTCCTCGACCTCATGGTCCACCTTCCCCGCCGAGAGGACGAGCCGAACATGTTCAGCTACGGCAGGCCCACGGGCCATGGGGGCACCTGGGCCGGGCGGTGGTGGCAGCGGAGCGGGGCGGGGGGTGCGCGTCGTGGGGGTTACGATGGGCCCTGCGAAGACAGCGCGCGGTGTGGTGCCGACGGCCCGTTTCTTCCAGTCGTCGGCCTGACCTAAGGAAGGATGAGTAAGGAACGGCGCCCCTTCTCTCCAAGGGGTAACGCATAGGGAGCGACCGAGCCCCTCTTGAAAAGGAAGTGCTCCTTGTTCAAGCCGCTCGCCGTATTTTTTCCGTCGCGGAACGGCAGAGGCAATTTGCACGGGCGCTCGCATGAGTCGGGGGCACACCACAGGTTTGATGGTCCGGATGCAAGAGGGGGGGCGCGGGAAGGCAGGGCGGCTCAGGAGGGAGCAGGCGGGGAGGGCACTGACGGGCGACAGAATTTCACGGGGAGCGCGCCGGTGCGACCAGCCGGGGCTGCGGCGCCAGGGCAGCGAACGCGGGATGGCACCACGGCCACATCCAAAGGCAGTCAGGGCTGCATGCGCTGAGGGCGTGGGGAGCAACATGCTGGCAGCACGACAGTGCAGAAGCCTTGGGAAGCTGCCAGGAGCGAGTGCTACCTCCGATTATTCGTCACGTCAGGCTTCGCTGCGCCAGGCCGTCTGCTGGCTGCGAGGCCAGGACGGGATCTCAGCGGCAGCGCTCGGTGTCCGCGCGGGGCTGCGCCGAGGCGGGCGCGGGAGGGGAGGGGCAAGACGGCGGGCGGACGAAAGAGGGGAGAAAGAGTGGCCCACCCGACCGGGGGCGGGCAGCAGGCCCGGCCGCAGGGGCGGCGGAGCGGTGCGGCAGGGCCTGTGCAGGGGCGGCTGGGCGCGTGGCCCGCCCCGCGCGCCTCCCTCGGAGGTGAAGCGCGCGGGGCAAGGCCGCACCCGGAAGAGGAAGGGGGACGCCGGAGCCCAAGGGCGCCAGCGCTGGGGAGCGGGCAGCCCGCGGCCAGGAGCGCATGGTCGGCGCAAGCACATGTATTGCATTGTCGGGGCTTTAAAGGCAGGAAAAAACAAAAACCGAGGGGGCCACGGATTGGCCTACCCTCCCGAGGAGGCCGCGTTGGGCCCCCTCCCCAAACAAGTGCAGCACAGACAGAAAGGCGAAGCCTCTGGCATGTACTACACAAGACCATCCATCAAGTGCAGCACTGATCAGACCATACATATACTACACAAGAAAACCAAATCAGGTGTAGCACTGAAAGGAACAGATACGACACACGATCTCATCACCAGCAACACCTGAATCAAGCAAGCACTGTGCAATAATAACAGATACTACACATGATCAGGGCGCCACCCTACCTGGCTAGTTCTCCAGGCACTTCGCCTGGGCTGCCTCCAGCAGCCGAAGGCCCTCGGCGATGTCGCCGCGCTGGAGGGCCTCCCTCGCCAGCATAGCGGCGCCGAGAATGAGCTGCTGGGCCTCCGTCGGGGCATCCGCCGCCGCCGAAACCTCGGGCACCACCTGCTGGGTGATCTCATCGAGGTCATCAGCCCAGCGCACTCCCTTCGAGGCCCCCTCGGGCGCCTCCACCAGCGCTTCGGCGCCACACGCCCTCGGCTCCAGCGCTGTCGGCTTGCTGCCCCCGATGCGGGCGGCCTCCGCGGAGGTGGGAAGACGGCCTGGGGCCCCATCTTCCCAGGCAGTGCCGGCCCCGCCAGGAGTGGGAAGACGGCCTCGGGCCCCATCTTCCCAGGCGCTGCAGGCCCAGCCAGGGGTGGGAAGACGGCCTGGGGGCCCATCTTCCCAGGCGCCGTGCTGCCCGCTAGTCTCTCGGCGTCGGCCTGGCACTCGGACGCCTCCTCGTGGGAACAGTTGTCCGACAAGGCTGACCCCACGAACTTCTCCTTGAACGACGCCTCCATGCCGACGGGCTGCTCCACCAGCTGCTCGCCCACGCCATCCTGCAGCAGCGGGAAAGGCGGGACCTCTGGCAGCGACTCCTTCCGCGCCGCATCGGCCCCAACGAAGACGCCCTCGAAGTCGAAACTGGCCGCACCTCCAGGCCCCTCATCCTCCCCACATGCGAGGTCGGCCCAGAAAGGCGAGGCGGCCTCCGCCTTGCGCCTGAGCTCCCAGGCAAGGGCCTTGGTGCTCATGAGCTCGTCCACGAGCCCGTCTCGTTCTGCCAGGAGCTGCTGGCGCTCCGCCATGAGCTCCTGGACACGGCCCACCATGCCGTCCGAGTCCGCCGCCGCCGACCCCGAGCCCGCGACGCCGAGCTGCTCCAGCTCCTCGGACTTCCCGCTGGAGGTGGTCGCCTCCGTGAGCACCTCGTCCGAGCCAGCGGACGCTTCGTCCGCGCCATTGTCCTCGAACCTCGGCGTCAGCACCCCCGACACGGATCGCATCCCGGCCTTGCCCCGTACCTCGGCCGGCAGCCGCCGGCCGCGCTGGAGGCATTTGCCCTGCGCGTCCGACTTCTCGAACCGATCCTCGACCCTGAAGGGCTTGCCCATCTCGTCGAGGAACTTGTGCTCCGCGATGTTCCGCCAGGCGCGTCGACCTCCCGCCACGCGCGGGGGCCGCGCCTCGCTCGCAGCCCGAACGTGCTCAGCGACGACGGGCTCGATCAGGCTGATCCGCGCCTGGACCTCCGCGGCGTCGCCCTCACGCACCACTGCGGGATCTCCCATGGCCGAGCGGACCGCCGCCGCCGCCACAGCCGCCAGGCCCTGCCGAGGCGCACCTCCCTCGGCTGCACCTCGCACGGCGGCGCGGACGAGCTCCGCGACAGCGCCAAGCCTTGCACCCGCAGGCTTGTCCCCACCCAGGGGAGCGACCGTAGCCATTGCCTCGGGACGCGCGCGCGCGGGGGAAGGAGACCGAGCCGCTCTCCGCGCCAGCCGAGGTGACTGGACTCTACAGGGAGAGGCACGGCGCGCACCGCCCGCCTAGCGCCCAAGGCAGGCTTGAGCCAAAATGGCTACGGACGCACAAGCACATGTGGACCAGGGAACGCGCCGCCTGGGAGGGCCGCCGCGCACGCCAGGGCACCGGAATGGTGCAACCACTTGCGGGCGCGGGCCTGGGAGTGGGTCGCCGTGGCGGGCAGCCCACGCACACATACACACACACACACCGCACGAGCTCACTCGCCCACTCATAACCACAGGGGTGCGTCCCCTTCTGGGCAGCCTTAGAACTCGCTGGGGCCATCTGGAAACATTCTGTGTAGCCAGGAAGCCGTGCAGGCGGAACATGTGGAACCCCCAGTGCATGTTGACACTTTCGGCTGTCTGGGTGTCTCTTGAAGCGTCTTGGAGTGTCTCTTGGAGGCTGTTTGGGTCTCCTGGGGGTTCTTGGCTCCTCTTGGAACCTCCCGATGGAGTCCTGCCTCTACCTTTCTTGGTGTTTCTTTGGGGACTTTTGGGCCCTTTTGGTTCGTAATGGGCGGCCTTCGTTTCTGGACGGCTCACACTACAATGTCTCGAGCACTCACATGTGTATGCCGTAAGAATCTAACACCACCTCGAGAACTCAGAAAGAGCGCGTTCTGCGAACGATTGGAAGGTGTGGGGGGTTCTAACCAGGAGGGCCCCCCCACCCTGAGTTGCAAGAGGGAGTGTCGAACCATGCACCCCCCCTCGATGGGAGGGGAGGAGCGTGGTTCGAACCGGCTCCCCCCCTCCGAATTGCAAAAAGGGGGGTCGAACCAGGGCCGGCGCCAGCGCTGGCGCTGTCGGGCAGCGACGACGACGACAAGACGACAACGACGAAGACGACGACGACGACGCGAGCGACGACGACGACGACGTCGCCACGAGCGGTGACGACGACGACGACGAAGACGACGACGACGACGACGACGGCGGCGGCGGCGGCGACCACGACGACGACGACGACGATCGAGCCGTAGTAGGATGCTCTTAAGGTTGGATCGAACCCTGCTAAGATTGTACAATTCTATTGGAGCTGGACCGAGCCCTAGTCCCTATCAGGACTGCTTGATCTAGCTGCAGCCGTCTGTTTTAGAGCCAGATCCAGCTTTAGTTGACTGCACTTCGAGCTGGATCCATTTATCTTAGGATTCTATCAGAGTTCGACCGAGCCTTGCTAGGATGTTATTACTGTTGGATCCAGCTTTAACAGGGTTCAATTCGACCTCGACCGAGCCTCAGCAGGGTTCAATTAGGGCTGGGCCCAGCTATAGTAGGATTCATTTCGGGTGGGCTCGAGCAGGACTACGACGCAAGGAGATCTTGGATCCAGCAGTAACGGCATTCTTTGAGAGCTCGATCGAGCTCGAATCGGACTCTATTCAGAGGAGGGGGGGGGGCATCTCCAAGTTCGGCGCCCCCCTCCCCTCCTTGCACAGGGCCCCCTCCCAACCCTTTTGGTTCGACCCCCCCCAAACCTTTGGTGGAGGGACCCCCCCTCCTCCAATAAGAGAGGCCGATGTCTGGGGGGGGGGGCGTTTCTCCGGGCGCTCTCAATGCTCCCCCCCCTCCGGCGTGTCAAAAAAAGTTGTCCAAGGCGAATGTCCACGAAAGGGGTGTGTTAGCCCTGGAGCACTTCTCTGCGTGCTGGAGGCACGGTGGTGGACCGAAGGTTTACTATGGCCAGGGCCTGGCCGGCTGCTCCCTAGAAGAAGGACAACCAGAAACGTATGCGTGTTTCCTTCTGTCGCTTGGCCTCCCCTTGCCCTACCCCTCTCTGCGGGATAACCGAAGTGCGCTCATCATCGATCTTCGGACCCCCCCCTGGGGTCCGTCCTGGCCAGCCTATCATCCCATGGCGATTCTCTTGACGGTCCTGGGCCCTGAACGGGCTCCCTCACGGGCCGAAGTGGAGAGAGCACGTGTGGCGCGACGTTCTTCGATCTTCCATGGCTTGCCTTGCCTGATTTGCCTTGCTGGCCTCCGACCTTGCGCCCTCCCGTGTGAAAACCGCCGCTCGTGGTGACGAAGTGTGCAGAGAGGACAGGAAGAGGCGGATGGTGCTGCTGTTGATCACGGTGACGACGACAATGACGACGTCGATGACGACGACGAGAATGATGATGATGATGATGATGATGATGATGATGATGATGATGATGATGATGATGCTGCTGATGCTGATGCTGATGCTGATGCTGATGCTGATGCTGATGCTGCTGATGATGATGATGATGACGATGACGATGACGATGATGATGACGACGACGAGGATGATGATAGTGATGATGATGATGATGATGATGATGATGATGATGATGATGATGATGTTGACGATGATGATGATGATGATGATGATGATGATGATGATGATGGCGGTGACGATGATGAGTTTGATTGTAACGACGGTGCTGATGATACTGCTGCTGCTGCTGCTGATGTTGCGAACGCTTCTGATGGTGAGGTTGTCATGGTGACGGTCATGTTACTGGTGGCTTGTGTGATGAAGTTGGTCACGATAATGGTGATGAAGTGGATGAGTATGCTGATGCTTATGCTGCTGCGGATGTTGATGATGGTGACGTCGCTGAGGCTGTAGAGGGTGACGAAGACGATGGTAATGATGATGCTGGTGCTGATGTTAACGACGACGATGACGATGACGACGATGGCGACGATGACGACACTGATGATGACGACCGCTTTTTTATATATATATATATGTATATATACTACCATTCATACACGTGCTCGTGTGCTTGTTTTACGGTGATGTTGATAACGACGACACTGTTGCGGCTGTTGCTGTTGATGACGATGCCGGTGACGATGTTGGTGATGATGTTGCTGCTGATGATGATGTTGACGATTATGATGATGCTGATGATGATGACGATGATGATGACGTCGACGAGGATGATGATTATGATGATGATGATGATTATGATGATGCTGGTGGTGGTGGTTGAAGGGATGCTAAGGGTGATGGTTGACGGTGATGACAATGATGATACTGCTGTTGATGATGGTGCTAATGTTGATGCTGAGTACCATGATGATGATCTTACTGATACTCGTGGTGGTGATGCTACTGCTGTTGCCGAGATGATGATGATCATGATGATGATGATGATGATGCTGATGATGATTATGATCATGCTTATGATGATTATGATGATGATGATGATGATGATGCTGCTGATAATGATGATGATGATGATGATGATGATGATGATGGTGATGATTAAGAGGAGGATGATGAGCCCGATAGAGGTAGTGGTCGTGATTATGATTACGATACTGACTGTGGTGGTGATAGTGATGACGATGCTGATGATGATGATGGTGATGATGCTGATGATGTTTTTTTCGATGACGGTCATGCTGCTGATGTGTTTGATGATGATGGTGGTGATGATGGTAATGATGATTGTGACGACGACGACGTTGTTGACGATGATGACGATTACGACGATGATGATGCTGATGATGATTCTGATTATGATGACGCTGATGCTGCTGCTGATGATGAGGAGGAGGAGGAAGAGAATGGGGAGCTGGATGGAGGTAGTGATCGTGATGATTATGATGATGGTGGTGGTGGTGATAGTTGTGATGATGATGAGGATGATGTTTTGGATGACGATGACGATGATGCTGATGATGAGGATGCTGATGATGCTGCTAATGTGTATGATGATGAGGGTGGTGATGATGATACTGATGATGGCGACGACGACGTTGTTGTTGATGATGACGATGACGACGATGATGATGATGATGATGATGATGATGATGATGATGATGATGCTAATACTGATTATGCTGATAATGCTAATGCTGATCATGATGATCACGATGATGATGCTGATGATGCTGATGATGATGCCGATGATGATGATGCTGATGCTGATGATGAGTGTGATGCTGATGTTGATGCTGATGCTGATGCTGATGATGCCGATGATGATGATGATGATGAGGAGGAGGATGATGATGATGACGATGACGATGACGATGACGATGACGATGATGATGATGATGATGATGATGATGATGATGATGATGATGATGATGATGATGATGATGATGATGATCATGCTGATGATGCTGATGCTGATGCCGATAACGATGCCGATGCTGCTGCTGCTGCTGCTGATGATGATGATGATGATGATGATGATGATCATGATGATGATGATGATGATGATGATGATGATGATGATGCTGGTGATGCTTCTGCTGCTGCTGCTGCTGCTGCTGAGGAGGAGGAGGAGGAGGAGGAGGAGGAGGATAGTTGTGGTGGTGATTCTGATCATGATGTAGAGGAGGAGCACCAGGAGGGGGAGGAGGGTGGAGGGGGAGGGGGAAGGGGGGGTTGGGCTGGAAGAGAAGGAGGTCGAGACCGAGGAGGAGACAGAGGAACACGAAGAAGTGCTTGCTTTGCAAGATCTCCCGCCTTCCCGCCTCCCCCGGGGCTCCTTCCGAGCCCGCTCGGCGCCCGAGCCCGCTCGCCCACCGAACGGGCAGCCGAACGGACTGGGCCCCGCCGGGCTCGTCAGAACGGTGCCCGCTCCTCCGCCGGGTGGGCGCGATCCTGGGTCCGTTCGGCGGCCGAGCGGTCTCGGTCGCCCAGCGGGCTCGGAGAGCCCGGAGGAGGAGGAGGAGGAGGAGGAGGAGGAGGAGGAGGAGGAGGAGGAGGAGAAACCTGAGGGCCTGGCCTCCCTGGCCTGGCCCCCGCCGCGCGCGCCGCGCAGTCCCTGCGACCACGGCTCGGCCTGCGGCCCCGCCCTCGGCCGCAGCACCGGGGGGGGTGATGTCGAGGGCCAGGGCCCGCTCCTGCCCCTGCTCCCCCTCCCTTGCCTCCCTCCGCACCTCTCCCCCCTGCCTCCTCCCGTCCTCCTCGTCCTCGTCCTCCTCCCCGTTCTCTCTCCTTCTCCCTTTCCTCCTCCTCTTGCTCCTCCTGTTTGTGCGCAAGTTCCTCCTGCGCCTCCTACTCCTCCTC